CGAAGCTCCTAAATGGGAAATTCAAAGAGTTGGATATTTGGGTCTTGAAAATATGCATTATTTCATGAAGTGTGATATCGAAAAATATCAAAAGGTAATGCATATGTTTGTCTACTTGGACTTATTCTTTTTTTTCCGGATAGCATTGATTCTTATATGAATTTTAGACAATATTAGAACAAATCAATCGACCCGCGGAGCGTCGGTGTCCATTTGCAAAGACATCAATCGAAGTTACCGAATTGCTATGTGATTATTGGGATATCAGTACTGGATGTAAGCATTCTCTTTTCCTCTATTTTCTTTTTGATCTTTATTTAAATATTTTGAATTTGTAGATACAACATCAACATCATTTCAACCATTACTGTTGTCATTCAACAAAATTCATTATATCGCTGTGAAATCATTTTTCCGTCTATGGAATGAGATGGAAGCAACAGTTGATGATTTTCCTAAAGTCTCAGCTTTGGTGAGAAGCCAGTTGAAATTTGCTTTGCGTGACGAAGCAACGAAACAACTTTATGAATTCGAAAAGGATCTGCTGGAAGTTGAATATAAAGTCATTAGGGATAGACAATTAAAAGAACTGGAGTTGGGTGATGATCTACTTAGTAAAACACCTGTCAGGTGAGTTGTTACTAATTTATTCTTCTTCTTTTGCATAATGTATTCTAACATTGTATTAATCCTGATTACATAAAAAGAAATTTACGCGAACGTCTATACACAGAATCTTATGAGTTTATTAAACAACAACGTATCAGATGTCTATTGTCTGGAGATTGGTTTCCTATTATTACAACCAACACGTCCACAAGTCAACAAAATTTAGGTCGAAGATCAATATCGAGTAAAAAATGGAGGTTTTATAGACTTAGCCCAAACAACAAATTTCTTCACTATAATGATTTTCCGAGTAAAATCTTGATTAGAGAAGGTGTTGAGGAGCTGCCTGAGAAAAGTAATTTCATGTTTTACTAGCCTCCTAAATTTTTTATTTGTTAATTTTCTCCAATTGACATCTACATCTTTATATAATAGTCGACCTTTCACTGGTAACGGATGTAATGACGGGCCCCACAGCAGTTACGACAGGTTCTCCATCTAGAAGATCATTTAACAATAATGAACTCACATTTTCCCTAATGTCAGGCCCAGACACCTCCTTGGCAGATTTCCTTGCTTCGGATCTCGTTCAATTCAGCGAATGGACAGATGGATTAAACATGCTATTTGATAAAAACATCGGCAGTAAGGACACAGCGGAATTTATTCACGTGCTGACTGAGATTGGGGTCAAAGTGAAATTGTTGGATTTAAGTGGTGAGAGGGTTGAAATTCCACAGAATGTTGAAGTCCCTAGTGCATTGCCGGTTATTGGAAATGGATTCTATTATGATGATCCTTTCTCTTAAATTATCTATCGAGCTAGAGATTTTCAATTTTTTAAAAAAATTTTTACATAATAATCTATTCAGTTTAGATACACATTGTTTGTTGGGATGTATGTTAAGCGTATCAGCAAATTATATTAGTAATATGTAATATACTGTATAGTGTAATACTAGAAAGATACTTTGTAGCGTTTCCGAAGATTCTTGTGCCCACCAATTAGCTGAAAGGAATAAAGGTTAGATCTCGATGTATTAGATTTGTCTTGAACATTTCAATACACTCAGGTAACACACTGAACATTGCTTCTGTTATAAATAAATATTATCTTTTTTAATATCATTGAACTCAAGTATTAAACAGCAAAGAAATTAATAAAGAAAAATTTAGACATTCGTTTGTTATATATATATACTGTATATTAACAACTATTAGATAACATTTAAATAATAATAATAGCTTTCCAAAAAATTTAAATCGTCATTACTATTATTCTAAAATTGTCATTAATATTTTTTAGCTTTTTTTGTATTTTGTATTCTTATTTATTTTTTTTTTTAACAAGCAATAAATATGCGACTATTATTGAATATTTCATCATAACCAATACATTAATAATCATTTACAAACTGGCACTAAATTATTTTTATTAAAATTTTTATTACTATTTATTAAATATAAAGAATAATTTTTTTAAAAAAAAATCACAAACAAGTATTAAATGCGAGACTTTATTAAACCCAAAGAATAATTTTTATATAATTTAAATTATAGTTTATATTAAAGTATTGTAAAATAATAATTATCGGAAATTACAAAATATATAAAGTATTCTATAATATTTTTATATTAGAGAAGTTATAAACAAAGTATTATTTATAATTAATAAAAAATTTTTTATTAAATATAAGAGAAACCAAACAATTCTATTATTTTTTAAAGAAATAAAATCTTCTTTATATAGATGTTTTTTTAATATAAATAAATAAAATAAAATGTAATTCAACTTATCACAAGAAAATAAGCATGTTCTTCAAACAGTCAACATTAATACTAATTCTTTATTTTAAGCAATACTCTAAGAAATTAACTTCTAATAATAATAATATATCTAATTTTATTAAAATAATCTAGTTATCAATAATTTCAAAATAGAATTTATCAATTTTTGCCTAGCTTCTGGCAATGTCCTACTTGTAATACTCAATATTATTTAATAAAATTTATAGTACAATATTATTGAAATTAAAAATAATAAAAAAATCCTTTAATTAATATCAATATATTTTAGAAAAAAAATTAAAATCAATCTTTTCTCTTTAATTTAAAAAATAAATCAAGTCATAAAATAAATATTGATAAAAGTAATATATATCAAACTAAAATTAAAATCAATAACAGTCAAAACTATATATGATAAAATTGAATTTAAATATTTTTCAAAAATTGTATTACTATTAAAAAAATAATAAATTAATTAAAAATTATATTATTATATATAATAAAAATCATTAATATAATCATATATATAGTCAAGATCTTTTAATAAAACTATATTCTATTTTATTTCTCAAAAAATCCTTTAATTAATAATATATATTTAAATAATAGTATTAAATAATATAAAAAGTTTTTTAGTATTATTAGAAATTATATGATTTGTGAAAGCTTCTCAATTTTTCAAATTTTTAAATAATATTATATTTTATATAATCTAAAGATCATTAATTAATTCAACAAAAATATTAAAAAAAATATATAACAATTACAATAATTTAATAATATTTAAAATTAAATTACTTTCAAGAATCTTTTCAACTTATTAAATGCTTTATTAATATTATTTAAATCAATATTTAAATATATATTACCCAAGATATAAACTTTATACTAAAAATTTTCAATATGTTTTCAAATATCCTAAAGCTTTAAAAGAGATTAATCAAATTATAAGTAATATTAATTAAATCTTTTACTTAGATAATAATCTTAAACTAATCTTTTTTTTTTTTTTTTTTTTTTTAAACATAAAAGGGCATTAGATACAAGTCTTTATTAAATTGTATATATATGATACATGAGTTACATCAAACATCTTCACATAATAACTATGAATTAATGTTAACCTATCTATGATGCTAACTAAAGTGATCCTCCTTACACTTAATATAGATTGGATTAGCATTAGTGCTGGATGGTTAATGCCCTTCCAGAATTAAAGTAAGGTCTTAAGACTTTAGTATATTTATTTGAACGATTTGTTGTGAATTGGAATATACAATAATTTTGTTCAATAAATCTGGTTGTGCTTCAGATAATTCTTTTGATTTGGTGGTTGTTGGTTTTGGAGTAGATTTTTTTCACTTGATGCCTGATACTATTGAGGTATTAGCTGTTGTGGATCTGGGTAGCCATACTAGTGAGTATAAAAGTTTAAGAGCAAAGTTTATTAGTTTGGTTCATGCTTTTTTTGAGAGCTGGATTCTGAGAATTGTTATTCCACATGCTAGGCCTTCGAAGTTTGACTTTCTGTTGCTGGTTAGAGTTTGTAAGTGGTGAACTGAGTCTGCTGCTATTGTTTTGGCTTTGTTCGTCAGTGCGAGTTTTTTGATTTTGATTATGATTTTGATTTCTATTTTGCTATATGCTGCTGTGTTCTTGTAACATTCGAATACGTGTCTTTGTGTCTCGGGTATAACCAGGCATCTGGGGCAAAGGTTGTCTTTATACAGTTCAGGGTATCTATCATATAGAATTTGTCTTGTAGAAAGAGTACCATTAAGTATTTTGCATCTGAAAACAAGTAAGGATGAGCAGTTGAATTTGTCCTTTTTAATAAGAGATTTGTTGGCTATAAGGAGTAATTGGAGAGATTCAGTGTCAAATATTTGGTTCTATCTTTCTTTGATCGTTGAGCTGTTGATGAGATCTATCAATCTATACACTTGTTGAATTTTTTTAATCCAATATATTGGTTCTATACCCCATGTATTTTTAATTATTGGGCTTGTTGTGTAATTGTCAATTGCTAGAATATTGTCAATTGAGACGATGTTGTTGCTTTCTTGAGATGCTAAGACACAGGTCTGTTTGTATAAGATTGATTTGATCTCTTTTGTCACGCATAACTCTTTAATGTGGCTGATTAGATAACTATAAGAGGTTTTGACTCTTTGGTTAAGATAGCTTGAAGTGTCCAGATATATAGTAAACGGAGTATTGATAGTTATATAAGTTTGCTTCTTGATGGTTTCCAAGAGTCCTATAATTGCTAGGAATACGTTGATAGGTTGGTCATGATCTGAGTGCAGTGTTAAATTGATTTCCTTATTTTCTATGAAAACCAAATTATCTTTCGTTGTCAGGTTTAGAATGGGGAAAGGGCAGATGTTTGTTATTAATTGCTTGATATCTTTTATCATGTTTTCATTCAACTGGGAGATATCCTGGATGAGTGGATTGTTGTTAATCGAGACAATAGGAATAGTGTTAAGTTCAGAATGCTCTTGCAACTGTTCTAATATTTCTTCAGGAGTGTTGGCTAAGTAGTCTGGATTGTTTTTTTTATAGGTCCAAAGGGACATAGCTTTATGGTCAATTGTGAAGGTGTGTGCACTAATGTTATGGCATTGGCATTTGATAAGCATTTTTCTTAAGTCAATAATATAATGAGAATCCTTGAGTGGCTGGCTTGTGTCTCTATTGATTCTTGCCTTTATAAATATTATTTGATTATTTTTCATGCTAGCCCAGAACCTGGCTTTGAGGTTAGGGGTGCCCATGGAGATTCCTTGGATATCAGGTGTAATTTTGATTTGTGTGAACCACATTGGTACAGGGCCTTTTGGAATGGGGTCCAGGTGTGTATTGAATTCATGCCAGGTGAGTCTTCGATTGTTCTTGTAAACATATAGGTCTTTGAGGGACTTGATTCCTTTCCAGTACAGGCCTATGGCTTGCCGCTTGAATACTTTATTTTTGAATGGGAATAAAAGACCTAGAGAGAGGTTGCCATCTGGATCATTGAATCTGCAGTTTGGTGGGTATACATTAATTTGATACTTTTTACATGCCAGGGCAGCTTGGATTATCCAACTGCTTGGGAATTTTTCTGGATAGCATATTGGGCATAGCCAGATTACGTTGCTTGCTTGAATTGATTTAATTTCTATACTGAGAGCATCTGTTATTTTTGGATTGCATGCCTTCATAATTAAAAGTTTGGTTAGAGTAAGATCTTGTTTGTCCATAAGGTTAATACATTTGAGGCTGGCTTGCGAGTATATGATTCTGTCAGAGGTGGTTCTTCCAATGCTGAATTTTTTTTTGATTATGCCATTGGCTCTTGTTTGAATTGTGTGCAGTTGGTTTTTTGACAATGTTGTTGAGTATGATGAGTAATCAATTTTGTTTGGAACTATCCAGTCGATTACTTGTTTTGCTATTGGCTCATTCCAGGATTGCTTCCCTAGTACTGAAAGTATTTGGTTCAGGTTCTTAATAACAGGTAGTATACATAAGTTACTGGAGTTGTCTCCTGAGAAGTAATTTCCCAGGTAGTGTAAAGATACTTTGTGTGGTAGTGGTTGGATTGAGGTGTCAAGAACCTTTAGGCTTGAGTTTCTGTCGCTATTATTATTACCCAGTATTGTAATTAGCATTGTTTTTTTGGTGTTGCATTTGATGCTATTTAGGACAAGGAAGGAGCAGAAGGTATCTGTAGTTTTCTGAAGCTCTTTTATTGAATGGGCCATTAGGAGTACATCATCCATATATGTGAGAATGTTGTAAGGGATCAGTGTATGGTTTTGCTGACTGAAGACTGCTGTTACCATTGGGTTATAATATATGGTCCAGAGTAAAGGCGACAAGGTTTCCCCTTGATCCAAGCCTTTTGAGACTTCAAAATTGCCAGTACTTCTGAAGTTGGTTAATATAGAGAGGTTCCTATTATTAAGTAGGTTGAGAAATATGTTTATTAGTTTGTTTGGAATCTTGATCCTTAAGAGGGCTGCTTTTAAGC